AAAAAAAAAAAAAAAAAAGTGTACTCAATCAAAATATGCAGCTTAAGTGTATTATTTCCATTACATCAAAATATACAAAATTTCTGAAAAAAATTCACAAAATACACAAATATTCTGAAAAAAATTCATTGCAGTGTATATCTCTGGATGATGAGACTGGGAGTAATTTCTTTTCTTTTTGTGGTTTTTTTTTAAACTTTTTTTAGAGATAGGATCTTGCTATGTCCCCAGGCTGGAGTACAGTGATGCAGTCTTGACTCACTGCAGTCTAAATGTTCTGGGCTCAAGTGATCCTCCCACCTCAGCCTCCAGAGTAGCTGGGACGACTGGTGCATGCCACTATGCCCAGGTGATGTTTATATTTTTTGTACAGATGGTGTCTCACTATGCTGCCCAAACTGGTTTCTTTTACTCTTCTATTATAAGGAAATATATTAGTTTTGTTATAGGAGTTGAGGCTGGGAGGTGATAAACTTTTTGAAAAGTCAACTTTCTCCTGAATGAATAAACAATTGTTTATGTATTAATTACTACATTAATGACTGCTTCCATATTCCAGTTGAAAACCAGAGATTGGCTATGACAGAATCTCCTGTAGAAGTTTTTTGTTTGTTTTTGAGACTGGGTCTCACTCTGTTGCAGTGCTCTGATCATGGTTTACTGCAGCCTTGACCACCTGAGCTCAAGCAGTTTCTCCTGCCTCAGCCTCCCAAGTAGCTGGACTACAGGAGTGCACCACCATGCCTAGCTAATTTCTGATTTTTTTGTAGAGAAGAGGTCTCACTCTGTTGCCCAGTCTGGTCTGAAACTCCTTACCCTATAAATAAAGTCAATAGGGCTGATTAGGACTTTGACTATATTTTAAGGTTCCTAGATGATTCTTTTGCAGCCAGAGTTGAAAACCATTATATATTATACACCTTATACATCAAGGTTATGGATATGTATTGTCTGTTCATGTACTCTGACCCAGGAATTCCATTCCCAAATGTTTACTCAAGAGAAACTTGTAAGTATGCACGAAGAGACATGTACAGGAGTGTTCGGATGTACTGTTTGTAACAGCAAGTCTAGAAACAACCGAAATGTCCATTGATTATAGAATGCATATTTTGTGTATTCAGTAGTGAAATATCACATAGTAGTAAAAAAAAAAATTAGCTATATATACATGCATGACCTTAGAAATGTAACGGTGTTATTTGTAAAAAGCATTTCCCAGAAGACTAAAATGTTATAATACCATTATATTCAGAAGGAAAAGGAAAAAATGTGTTGTTCAGGCATGTGTAAATGTGTTAGGGCTAGGCGTAGTGGCTCACTCTTAAAATCCCAGCATTTTAGGGGGCCAAGGTGAGAGGACCACTTGAGGCCAGGAGTTTGAGATCAGCCTGGGAAACATATTGAGCCCTCGCCTCTACTAAAGTTAAAAAATTAGCCAGGTATGGTGGTGTATGTCTGTAGTCCCAGCTACTCAGGAGGCTAAGGTGGGAGGATTGCTTGAGCCTAGAAGGTCAAGGCTACAGTGAGTTATGATTGCACCGCTGCATTCCAACCTGGGTGACAGAGCGATACCCTGTCTCTGTTTTTTACAAACAACAAAAAAAAATGAAAAAATGGCTGGGCTCGGTGGCTCACACCTGTAATCCTACCACTTTGGGAGGCCGAGGTGGGTAGATCAAAGGAGTTCAAGACCAGCCTGACCAACGTGGTGAAACCCTGTCTCCAAAAAAAAAAGAAAAAGAAAAGAAGAAAAAATGTATTAGAATATGGTTTACTGGTTACCTCTTGTAGAGGCTGAGGTAATAGATGGAGAGGAGCACATAGATATATATAATTAATTGATAACTTTTATTTTTTTTGAACTCCAATTATTATTATTATTTATTTATTTGTTTATTTTTTGAGACGAAGTTTCACTCTTGTTGCCCAGGCCGGAGTGCAATGGCACGATCTCAGCTCACTGCAACCTTCGCCTCCCAGGTTCAAGTGTTTCTCCTGCCTCAGCCTCTCAAGTAGCTGGGATTACCGGCGCCCAGCACCATGCCCAGCTAATTTTGTATTTTTTTAGTAAAGGTGGGGTTTCACCATATTGGTCAGGCTGGTCTCAATCTCCTGACCTCAGGTGATCTACCCACCTCGGCCTCCCAAAGTGTGAGATTACAGGCATGAGCCAACACACCTGGCCAGAGCTCCCATTATTTAATGAATTGGTAAATTTTAACTCTGAAAGCTGGGAAATATGTTAACAGGTGCTTATTTTATTAACTTTTATTTTTTATTAACTATATTTTTGTGTATGTATTAAATGATGTATATGTATTAAATATCACATTGTGTATATATTTGATATATATCAAGTGTAATATATTTGATCGGTAAACACTTTTTAGACAAGCATTAATATTTTAATATAACTGCATCTTGGTGGGGTGCAGTGGCTCATGCCTGTAATCCCAACACTTTGGGAGGCTGAGGCAGGTGAATCACCTGAGGTTGGGAGTGTGAGACCAGCCTGACCAACATTGTGAAACCCTATCTTTACTAAAATTACTAAAATTAGCCAGGTATGGTAGCAGGCACCTGTAATCCCAGTTACTCAGGAGGCTGAGGCAGGAGAATCACTTGAACCCAGGAGGCAGAGGTTGTAGTGAGCAAAGATCACGGCATTGTACTCCAGCCTGGGCAATAAGAGCAAAACTCAGTCTCAGAAAAAAAAAAAAACACAGAGCTGCATCTCTATAGCTTGTTAGTGTCACCTAATGAATAGCTAAAGCTAGAGTAATTGGTGGAGTTACTTGTAGTGTGTTACGGGCACCTCTTAGTAACATAGTTCACAGTTATATCTTCATTCTTGTCAGTAAAGTCCTTTTAATTTTATACACAGTCTCTTGTAAACAAATATTATCATAATAGTAGAGATAGGTGAGACCTTTCTTAGATCATTCAGTCCTGGGGTTATAAACTGACTGCCCATGAGTGGAACACCCACAGATGCATTATCCATAGCCATTAGTTAAAAGAAAAAATGTTTAATGCCATTAGTCAAGAGAGAGCCTTTATGGCCCAAACACTAATGGATCTCATTTTGCCAGACTTCATTTCTCTTTAATGTTTACACTCTGCCCAATTGTCAGTTTATCTGCTTGACCCTTGTGAGCATCTAAATTGTAAATAGACACTTTAACTAGTCCAACCTCCCTTGTTTTACAGATAAAGAAACTAGTGAGAGTCCATTGTATGTGAGAAGAGATTGTGGGCATTTTGGTTTTGTTGTCTGCATGATTGTTTAATTCCAGCACATTATTCCTTAATATAAATGTAAGGATCAATTTTATTATTTGTTGGCATTGAAAAAAGTGTCTGTGGCTGTATTTCTTCAAAGTGAAAATGAAATTAATTGAGAAATGTGATTTGATATATTAACTTTTTACATACAAGTTTTCAAGGATAAAGAAAAGGTAGAAACTGAACATTTAGGCCAGGCACAGTGGCTCGTGCCTGTAATCCCAGCACTTTGGAGGCCAAGGCAGGTGGATCATTTGAGGTCAGGAGTTTGAGATCAGCCTGACCAACAGGGTGAAACCCAGTCTCTACTAAAAGTACAAAAAATTAGCCAGGCATGGTGGTACATGCCTGTAGTCCCAGCTACTTGGGAGGCGGAGGCAGGAGAATCACTTGAACCCAGGAGTTAAAGGTTGCAGTAAGCCTAGATCGCACCACTGCACTCCAGGCTGGGCGACAGAATGAGACTGTTTCAAAAAAAAAAAAAAGAAAGAAAGAAACTGAACATTTAGATTAGCCCTAATAGAGAGAAGTTGGTTAAATGTTTTCTTGCTCCCTTAAATATTGTGAAGGTAATGAGTGAATGTCTTGGCTAGGTGTACTGATACACAGCTGTAATCCCAATGCTCTGGAGGCCAAGGCAGGAAGATCACCAGAGCCCAGGAATTAGAGACCCGCCTGAGCAACATAGTGAGACCCCCGTCTCAAAATACTTTTAAAAAAGAAAGCAAAGGTGTGCCTGTCTTGTTTCAATCCTATATTTGGGATGGTTATATAAAAGGCTGGGCGCGGTCGCTCATGCCTATAATCCCAGCACTTTGGGAGGCCGAGGCAGGCGGATCACGAGGTCAGGAATTTGAGACCAGCATGGCCAACGTGGTGAAACTCCATCTCTACTAAAAAACACACACAAAAAAAATTAGCTGGGCATTATGGTACACACCTGTAGTCCTAGCTACTTGGGAGGCTGAGGCAGGAGAATCACTGGAACCAGAATGTGTAGGTTGCAGTGAGCCAAGCTGAGATTATGCCACTGTACTCCAGCCTGGGTGACAGAGTGAGACTTAATCTCAATAAAAAAACAAAAACAAACAAACAAAAAACCACAGTTAAATTAACACTTTGGTGTGTCTTTTTCAGCATAGTGTTAGAGGTGTTGTATCTATGGCTAATAATGGCCCAAACACTAATGGATCTCAATTCTTCATCACCTATGGCAAACAGCCACATTTGGACATGAAATACACCGTATTTGGGAAGTGAGTATTCTGGTTATGGTTTTCTTTTGGCATTTCAATGCAAGTGGTGCATATGCTCGGCTATGATAGTAGCATAACTAATATCGAAAAGAGTGACACTAGGTGTGGTGCCTCACACCTATAATCCCAGCACTTTGGGAAGCCAGGGTGGGTGGATCATCTGAGGTCAAGAGTTCTAGACCAGCCTGGCCAACGTGGTGGAACGCTGTCTCTAGTGAAAATATTTTTTAAAAATTAGCCATGTATGGTGGCACACACCTGTAGTCCCAGCTACTTGGGAATGTGAGGCAGGAGAATTGCTTGAACCTGGGAGGCGGAGGTTGCAGTGAGCCATTGTACTCCAGCCTGGCAACAGAGCAAGACCCCATCTCAAAAAAAGACTGTCTCAAAAAACAAAAAAAAGAAAAGAATGGTGTGAGAGCTAAATGTACCTGGAGTTTAAGTTTACCACTTAGCAACACTGTGAACCTGGGAAAATTGTAATTTCCCTGAGCCTTATTTTCCTTATTTTGTAGAAGAGAGGCCAGTAATTTTTTAAATATTGTTATGAAAATTAACAGAGTTTATCTTTTTTTTTTTTTTTTTTT